GTTGATATGCCTGGATACTAGCTCTGGGGTTTTTAGCACACCAGAAGAGGCTTGTTTTTTACAACTTTCTTCAAATTATCTTCAGCTAGTCAAGGTAGCTAAGATTGTGCTTTCATGTAGTTATTTGATCCACGTTAGTTTACACTTTGCTCTTTTACCCCTGCCTCTACAAAATGTTGATTCGCTGCAGCTTCTAATTACTCCGGTGAAGGAAGATTGCTGAGTTTGGGCCACTTAACATTCTTCCCTTCTTGAAAACCTTAATCTTTTTCTGTGCATTAATTAGAACCAATTTGATTATACTTCAGTGGGTGTTTTTAATGTACCTGACCTTAAAAGACTAGTCATTTTTCCATGTAATCCTTTTTGAGGGAACTAAATAGATTGATAAATATTCTTTTCCTAGATTTTATCCTTTTTTCTGTCTGCTTCTGCAATTCAGCAAGCACATGATAGCTCCTACCAACCTGTTCTTCAAGATCTATGATCATTTTTTTCAGGTTAGGTAATATTTAGGATCTTCTGTCTCCCTCCTGCTATGTTTAACATGGCTGTATCTGGCCTAATCTACAGTAGGATCTTGGTGGTTACTCCTTTAACTTCAGTGGGACATTTCAGTGAAAGGGACTTACAGCCTGTACAGAAGGACATAGGAGAGAAAATTCTATCCCAATGCAAAAGACATTTTTTGCAAAACTATCAGCTCTTCCCCAGTACCAGTTCAGTCTAAGGTACTTAAAATGTCATGATAATTACCTTCCCTGTTTTAGGTGACTTTCTGATTTCAGTATATAAATCCAACCAAAACGTCTCTTCCACTTCTGAAAGCTGATTACATATCTGTACTGTGCCTGGGGATATCACCCCCTAATAATCAAGGGCTCAATCCATTGCTCATTAAAGTCATCATAGACTCATAGAAAGTTGAGGGTTGGAAGGGACTTCAGGAGGTCATCTAATCCAACCCCCTGCTCAGAGCAGGACCATCCTCAACTAGATCATCCCAGCCAAAGCTTTGTCTAGCCAGGTTTTGAAAACCTCCAAAGATGGAGATTCTGCCACCTCTCTGGGTAACCTGTTCCAGTGCTTTATAACCCTCCTAGCGAGAAAATTCTTCCTAATATCTAATCTAAACTTCCCTTGCTGAAACTTGAGACCGTTGCTCCTTGTTCTGTCATCCTCCACCACTGAGAACAGTCTGGCTCCATCCTTTTTCAAACCCCTCTTCAGGTAGTTGAAGGCTGCTGCTAAGTCCCCTCTCAGTTGCTTCATCTCTAGACTAAATAATTCCTGTTTTTCCTCATAAATCATGCCCCAGCCCTCTCACGATTTGTCCACATCCTTTCTGTAGTGGGGGGCACAAAACTGAACACAGTACTTCAGATATGGCCTCACCAGTCCTTAATAGAGGGGAATAATCACTTCCCTTGACCTACTGTCAACACACCTTCCAATGCAGCCCAGTATGCCATTAGCCTTCTTGGCAACAAGGCACACTGCTGGCTCATATTCAGCATATTGTCCGCTGTAACCTCCAGGTCCTTTTCTGCAGAGCTGCTGCCCAGGCAGTCAGTCCCCAGCCGGCACAAGTGCATGGGATTGTTCTGTCCTAAGTGCAGGACTTCACGTTTATCCTTGTTGAACCTCATGAGATTCCTTTTGGCCCAATCCTCCAAGTTGTCAAGTTCACACTGAATCCTAGCCCTACTCTCCAGCGTATCTACTACTCCCCCCAGCTTGATGTCATCTGCAGACTTGCTGAGGTTGCACTCTGTGCCATCTTCCAGGTTGTTGATGAAGACATTGAACAAAACTGGCCCTAGCACTCCACTTGATGCCAGCTGCCAACTAGACATGGAGCCATTGCTTACTACCTTCTGATGCTCCAACCACCGTACAGTTCATTCATCCAGGCTAGATAGATCCAGCCCATACTTCCTTAGCTTGCCTGAGAGAATGTTGTGGGAGACCATATCAAAAGCCTTGCTAAAATCAAGGTACACCACATCCACCAGTCTCGCCACATTTACAAAGCCAGTCATCTCATCACGATGTCATAAATTATGATGTCATAAATTAATATTTTTCTTGTAAAAGCCTAAATGAGTCAAGTTACTAAGTTTAAAATATCATGTCTGTTACTAAATAGCTAATGGAATAATTGGGTAAAACACCCACTAATAATTCCCACATGACTAAACAGGATACATTTCCCTTTCCATTATCATTAAGTCTGTATTTATTATGCCTCATTCATTACAATATTTCGGTATGTGTGTAATTTTAACCTTATGAGTAGTTCTACTGAAGTAAGGGAATTGTTCATCTACAGTTATACAGCGCTCAAATCCCTTCCTGAACTGGGGCTTGTGTTAGGAAAAGGAAGCTGATTTCAAAGACAGGTTAGGAGAAAATTGTTTAGCATTCAATTTTCTAATCAGACTGTGAAATTCCAAAATAGTTAGGCTATGTTTTTTTTCAAATTTTTAGTTGTTTGTTTTAAGTTTGCAATTATAATTTTATTTAGTGTAAAATTCATAGATATCTAGGTGACCAAGAAAATAAAAGTAGTGTGTTCTGCTTTTTTCCCTAAGGTTTTTAGTCTCTACCAGTACTAGATAAACTGAAAGTTTTGTCCAGCTATATCTAGAACATAAAAATACCATATGCCCCCTTCATTTTCAAGATTAATGCTAATCAATTATTTGGATAGCTGAACCTTAAACTTTGAATTGAATAGAATTGAATTGAATGATGATTTTTAAAAAATAAAAGATAGCTAATTTTGTAAAAAAACAAAAACATTCCAGAAATGGTAGAAAGAAAGAAATGAAAGATTTTTCTTTTATCTAGATATTCAGACCACTACTACATGCTGGTGAGAATAACTGTATTTGTTGCGATCAATTTAAAGAAATGCTCAATAGTTCTGTACAGTCACAAGGCCTGCAAGGTTGCTTAGATGGTAAGTGTTCACAGACATTTACTCTGAATGTAATTTTTCATTCTGATTCCTCCCATCCATTGCTGATGGGATATTTGACTGAATCTATCTATGTGAAGCAGATTCTTTCTGGAAGTGATTTTACATAAGTGTGCCTTACTGCTCTGATTTCTGGTTTATTATTTTTCTCTAACTGAATTTTCTTTAGCAGTCATATAAATGTGATAGCAATGGAGACAGAAGTTTTCTGTTTGTCTGCACAATACTTAGAACAAGGGGTAGCAATGCGAGTTTCTTGAAAGTGTGTGGTGAATATGCTATAGCCTTAATTTAGAAGTTGTTCTAGCAAGAAAGCAATTAGTATCTGGCTTATTTTAGGGCTTAACCTCTGCTGACTTTTCCAGCAGTAGATATTGCTTGTTATTGGGGTTTTGGAATGTGAACAGTAATAATCATAAGCAACCATTGATCCTCTGGATCATGGTGCATGTGCAAGAGGTTTACAACCAGCACATTAAGACTTTTGATGTGTATGTCTAGGCAAGAGTATGGAGGAGTGGAGGCTGCCCAAAACCTGTCATCCCCCCTTTAGACCATTGAGATAGAATCTAAAGATCAGACCAAGTCCAGATGTTCAGTACCTCAATGGTTGCAGATTCTGCTGGAGAGCAACAGATAAGATTTGCTGCTGACTGCCTAATGCCTCAGGCTGCTGACAGAAGTGACTGTCAGAAATTGGACCTCTGAAGTAGTCTCCATTCATGCCCTAATAAAGCACTCTGCAGCCATGCTCTTAAAAGTGCCTGGTCATGCCACAATCTGAACCCTCATTACATGAGGGCTGAGATGAAGATGTTCCAAAGCAGAGTACCTTCATTAACTTGTGTCAGATCACGTTGGGAGCAGGGCTGGGATGCTGAAGCCCAGATCCCTTCTCCCCTCTGGAGCTCTCTTCAGAATGGGAGGGAGAGAAGAGAGGGGAGGGAGTTCTGTCTGGGGTTTGCCCAGCCTTTACTGGAGGGTGGGGTGAGTGAATTGGAGCCTCCCCAAGGTGGGGCAGCTGCAGTCCACCCACCATACCCTCCAGTGAAGGCTGGGCAAACCCCAGACTGAGCTCCCTCTGCTCCCTTCACCCCCTCCCATTCTGAAGACAGCATCAGAGCTGCAAGGAAGAGGGGCGGGGCTAGGGGAGAGTGACTATAGACATGCAGTCACTCCAAACTGGAGCTTGATCCTGCAACCTCCCAGACCCAACAGGGAATGTCTGTTGGGTCCAGAAGATCTCTGTAACTCATGGTACTTCTTGCAAAGAGTTACATGAGTTACAGCAGGGAGCGCACATCTGTCAGTGGGGGCATGTTTCTGTCAGGGTGATGCCCCTTAGCCTTTCTCCAGCCAAGGAGTACCCACAAGGGATTGGGGCCTAGGGTTTTGAGGCACCCTATATTCACCTTATTCTGGAGGCTGCAACATAGTGGTATTTTATAGGAACTACTCTGCCACGAGTAGCCCCATCACATTGCGACCAGGCCCTCCAGTCCAGAGGTTTCCAACCACTGGACTGTGGCCCGGTACTGTGCCACAAAGGGTTGGCTGCCGGGTCGTGGCACGAGCTCTTGAAATTGGACCGCTGCTCCCTGCCCACCCTCAGCTGTGGACTCCTGCCTGCCTGCCCTGGCTCAGACCTCAGCTGTCCACCCAGGTGAGTGGCTTCTGTCACCGGCAGTCAAATACAGGGTTAAAGCTGGGCATCAGGGCAGGCCCGGGAAGGAAGCAGCCAGCTCCATGTGCCCCATCCTGCTTCTGCTGCCATGGCCATGCCTGGCAAGGTGCTACCCGTGCAACAGGTACCCCGTGGGGCCTGCGCCAGGCCAAGCAAGACCCTCCCAGCCCCACCCACAGCTGGGAGTCGGGGGATGTGGGCAGGGAAATGCCCAGGGCAGAGGGTGGGTAGGTGGCTCTGCTGCTTGCTCCTAGGGAAAGCAGTGGAGCCCCTTCTTCCCAGGCAGCCCCAGCTGGGTCCTCCCGGGCCACTGCCTGTGCAGTCTCTTCCACTGCAGGGTCCCCTGGTGCCCGCAGCTGCAGTGCCCCAACTCAACTGGAGCTGTGCCTTTACTTGCAGGGCAACTCCTCACGATCCCTCCCCCTCCCCCCCCCAAGTAACAATTTAATTTAAATATGTAAATTCGATTGGGTATAGAAACAATCTGCCAAAATTATTTGAGTGAGTTTGCCAGTCCACGATGTAAAAAACACTGGGAACCACTTCTCCAGTTGGATGCAGTTTACAGTCATACCCAGGACTATAGTGTGTAAGAACAGGAAAGTAGTACATTGGAAACAATGCTGCAGTGACAAACTCACTTAACCTAATCAACTAAACAGCTATTAAATGGTAATGTTTTTTAGTTGTTACTCACCAGGCCCAGGGCTGGATCATGTGCTGAAAGGTAAAAGGTGTGGCATACCATCACCAGTCCTCTGAAACGTTCTCCTACTGTTCTGATTTCTGGTTCTGTATTATCTTTGTGAGTTTTTGTTTTGCCTTATTATATATGGCAATTATAAAAGATATATAGGATGTATACATAAAATATATACATACACATGCATTTTTCCATATTATAAAGGCGAATATGTGTGTATGTGTTAAAGAAGATGTACTTTTTTCCTTTATAATGTGGAAAAAATTGTAAGGATTTTTTTTTTTAATTTCTAGTAGGTATCACTTTTTTCTGTCCCCGCATATTTCTTTTTTTCTCTGAGTTCATATCCATTAAGGAGCATAAGAGGTTTGGTACATTATTTGGCAGAAGAATTATACTTGCTTATTAGTTGTCTTGAAACGTTAGATGGAGAGGTCAGTTTGAGGATAGTTCTCAGCTCCTTTGAAAAGATACTAATCAGGATCAAGGAGAACATGAGGGGAGATTTTTATGTTCCATAAATCCAGTAATAGCCCATTTGAGAGGGGAAGGATGTGAACAAAAGAGGCCTTCCCTACTTACAGCCTTGCAAAGGCACCACTTACAGTAGTGCTGTGCATAGGGTCCCTTGCTTAATAACCACATTTCCTTGCTTAATAATGATTCCAAAGACAGCAAAGAGGGGGAAAGGATGTGTGGTTGGATACACAGACCTGAGCAGACACAGTGGGACCATCTACACGTGCTATTAATGCACCTGAATAAACACCAGCACAGTTTGTGCCAGAGTTTATTGGTACCAGGTACAGCATTTACACGTGTGCTCGGACTGCAGCCTCTTGAGCTGGGGCAGCACAGCCCTGCTGGCAGTGGCCTGGGAGGTCAGCCTGCCAAACCACAGCTGCTCCACCCTTGATCAGTGTACAGCGGAGGGCCTGGCTGAGGCCCAAGGGTGCTCCCATGCAGGGCTAGGCGGCAGGTAGCCCCCTGCGCTGTAGCACCCTCATGCCCCAGCCAGCCACAGTCACTGTCTACACTTGTAATTTGATGCACTAAACTTGGCTGTAGGATAGTACTTGAGTTGGGCAGTACTATCCTATGGTGGAGTTAATTTGTTTACTGTGGCCTAATAGTGCTGCACATATAGATGCTGATGCTGTACTGTGGAGCTAATTAGTCAACTCCACAGTAAAGCGCACATGTAGATGTCTCCAGTGAGAATCATACTGCACCTTCCTAAGCTGTGGTGTAATGGATCCAGTCCCCATGCATGTTCTGGAAGGATTTACCTCTTGATGCTCCCTTGTGAGAGTGTGAGATAGTTCGTAAGTTATCATCTGATGGGAATGTAGAATCCTTCCAGTGACAAGCTGCACATTTATCAGCCCCTGCTAACATAATATCACTGAAAATTATATGAATTTTCCTGGTTGGACAGCAGCCTTTAGAAAAGGACCAAGTAGGTTCAGTATTACACTCTCTTCCCCCAGCATTCATGAAAGGTGATCTTTTTAAAGACAAATATTCAGCATTTCAGATGAAACTTTCAAAGTTCTTGTATCAGTTTTTGTCAGTGCTCCATATAATACTGTAATAACATTCACATGTTTTTCTTCTAACCGATAATATAAAAGACCCTGTAACTTATAGCATTATTCTTATTCTTTGGTTTAAAATAAAAACCTTTATTTTGTATAACAGAACCTTCCAATGGACCTCAGACCTCAGATGAGTTTGTAAGTATGAACAGTACCAGTTTTTCACTGGTACTTTCCTGGAAGATTTAAAGGGAAAATATTGGAAGTTGAAGATGGGAGATATGTTTGCCATAAAAGGATAATAAAGTTCTTTCGGTTACAATCTTATATACTCCATAGACATAAAAGGCAGGGTGAGGACTTAAAGAGAACATTAAATATAAATTTGGCCTTAAGGTACACTCCTAATGGAGCCTTGCTATGGAACCAGAATGCTGATGGGATCTGTCAGATTTCTAAACGTGCTGCCAGGAATGGATTGGGGAGGCGGGGGGAATCAGCTTTTAAAAACAGACTTAACTGACATATTAATAAAAAACCAGGTAACAATCTGTCCCTGGTTTGGGATTAACCAGCATTTAAATTATTGCAGACAGAAGCAAGATAAAGAAAAAACACCAGAGTGGCAACAGTTTCTGTGGGGTGGAATGGGAACAGGATTAAAGACTTTGTCCTCTTCAAACTCCTTGCTCCTAAAATCTTATTTAGAGGCTCATCCAAAATCCACTGCAATCTCTGGAAAGGTTCTGGTTGACTTACGTGGGCTTTTTTGTCTACCTAAGTAAAAAGGTCTGATTTCAAAAAGTACTAAGCACCTAGCAGCTCTTGAAGGGAATAGGGCTAGTCCTATATATTTATTGTCTTTATTAAAGGAGTTGCTAAGTGCCAAACAAAATAGGTCTTTGTTCGGCTAAGCACTGAGTAGTTAAATGTCCCTTCCCCCAAAAGTTTACAATCTGAATAGACCAAACATATAGGATGGGAAAGGAATATAAAACAAACACATTAAACAATGTAATGATAGGAACTATCATGTTAGTACCATGATTTTGGGGGAGGGAGAGGGTAGATGGGTTTAGTCAATAAGGGAAAGGTAAAGGAAAAGAAGGGGTTTAGGAGACAGGGCAAGGAGCAGAAGGTCAGAGGTATAGGCAGAGAAGGAAAGTAGTGGTGGGGCTGTGAGGGACAGGGAGAATTGGAACAGGTAGTCCAGTCAAAACTATCCTTGCTTTGGACATCCGGGGCTCTTGCTTTAGCTGTTGCTTTTCTTGGTTAGCTGGAGTCTGGCTGACTCATCTCAACAGTCTTCCCCCAATGGTATATTGTGTTGAAAGGGAAACCACCACTTCAGTACTAATGCTTACTGGGTTTGTGTGGGAGCCTCATTCTTAGTGGTTGGTCCCTGGGGGTGATGAATGGAGAAGAGGCCCCAGGTGAGTTTCATTTTGCCCACAGTGCAACAGCCCCTGTTGTAGCTGCCTCTGTTCATACAGGATACTCTGGCTAACTCTGTCAGTTATCCCTACACATTGGTAATCCTTAGATTCATAGATTCATAGATGGTAGGGTCGGAAGGGACCTCAATAGATCATCGAGTCCGACCCCCTGCATAGGCAGGGAAGTGTGCTGGGTTTAGATGACCCCAGCCAGATGCCTATCTAACCTCCTCTTGAAGACGACTGATCTGGGGCCAGTCAGCACAGGAGGCTCTTTATAAGATGCTTAGCCTCTGAGCTTGTATCATGTTACTTCTGAACAGAAGATAAGAGTTAAGGATGGGGGTACAACTTTAAAAACAGAATCTCCTCCTTGTGGAGTACTTTCTCTTGCAAGCTTAATATTATCATAGGATATTTTAAAGTGTAGTTCCTTACATTTCGAGCCAAAGAAAAAGAAAATCCACACTGGAGAAATTTCTGCTTGTCGTCACCTGAACACTGTAAGGGACAATTTATATAAGGCTTCTCTTGAGTGTTTTAATGTCTGCAACATAAAGTGACAGGATTTATCAGCTTATTCAGTGGATACTGTAGCCCCTTCATAGACTAACCAGACCAATTTGTTATGGTGGATAGTTTTGCTTGTGAGTATAGGTGAGGTAATCCCCTTTGGAAGAAGAATATCACCATGATTGAGTTGCTTAATACTGTGGCAAACACAATCATCTTTGGGAAAGCTGTTTATATTGAAAGGCCTTAGGCCTAAAGTCAGTACTAAGTTCTAACTTAGATTAATCCCTTTGATCCATAGAGATCAAGCTGTATATTTTATGACTAATATATATGTCTTGTCTAACTTGCTAATGTTGTCTCGCAATATTCCCAAGGCAATGTAGAAATGGGGATGATATTTGGCAACCTGAGAAGGAGGAATGCCTTTAACTTTAATGTTTATCTTTGTGTAGCAACCATTGTTATTCTTCAGAAACATTTTCACTTAAAATTAGCTGAAAATCATTCATCCTGAGAAATGAGAGCTAAGCTAGCTATTCTCAAAATTAGTTTTGAATAAATCTTTCCTTTAAAATGCATTATTTTGGCAGCTGTACTTTATCATCTCCTATCCTACTTGCATGGCAATTTAAAGTATTATTTGAAGTATTCCTTTTAAGATTTAAAACTCTTTATTTTTGTAGGCTGAATTAAGAGAGGCAGTAATTAGTATTACACCAAATAACCAAGAAGAAGTAGCTTTACAGATTTCAGATGCAGGAGAAACCAGCTGCAAGTTACTTGCTTCAGAAAATGTAATGGAGGAACTTGGCTGTTTACAAAGAGAAGATTCCAGCCCAGTGGTAATTATTGCTTGAGACCAACAGCAATAATGTTGAAGGACATGATATTATTTATTTTTACTATAGTTATACTAAGATGTCCCAATCAGAACTCAATAATGCTAGATGCGGTGCAGTCAAATAAGGAGAAGTTCACAGTCCCGGCTCTAAAAGCTCACAAGCTAAATTATGTTTAAAGATAGCTATATTTTACTTTTAATTTTTTATCATTTACTAAATAATGTTAAGTTAGAAACAAATACAAACACTGAAGATACTCTTGCTGTATAGTTAGAGTTGAATGAACCAAAAGAAACAGCAACAATTGCAGTGCCATATTTCCAGCAGAGGGTCAAATCCTAAATCCAGTATGCTACATAAGTAACTGGAATGCATCCTGTTTTCACAGTGGGAGAGTCTAGAAACTTAGGATGAATCTGATATCTTTTATTAAACTAACTTAAATAGTTGGGGGAAAAATGTTAGCAAGCTTTTGGATTTACAAATCCTTCATCAGGCTGAGGAAGTCTCTGTTGTTGGTGTGTGGTCTTCCAGGATGGAATGAATAGTAAAGAAGCCAGAGGCTGGGCTGGTATGCATGAAAGACAGGCAGTCAGTGAAGATGTAGATTGAGGAGTCAATGGGTGAGAGACAGGCTGGGGGGTGGAATGAAGGTAGCAGTTAAATAGTGGTGAGGTACCTGGGGAGTCAGATGTCAGGCAGGTTATAGTGTGTCATAAATCCAGTGTCTATATTTAGTCTATGATATTTTGTATCCAGGAGGTTGATGAAGTGGAGTTCATAGGCTCGTCTCTGAGAAGTGTTTTGTAAGTTTCCTTTGAGGATTAGAACAGAGGATTGGAGAGAAAGTGGTTTTCTTGTGAGAAATGTGCCCCCACAGGTAGTTGGGTATTCTTGTCTTTGATAGATTTCCGGTGTGCATTCATTCTGGTGCGCACTTGTTGTTTGGTCTCTCCTACGTATTTTCCATCAAGGCATTTGGTGTATTGGATTAGATATACAGCAAAAGCTGCGTTAACTGGCACTTTATTAGCCAGAAAACTCTATTAACCAGCATCCAAGGGATGCAGCAAATGCGAAACTGGAAGTACCACTTCTGGGGGACTTCCCATTTTGCCGCCGTGAGCCGAGTTTTTCTTTGCCGCTTCTTCAGCCCACAGCCCAGGGTAAAGCAGCCTGCACAGGGCAAAGCAGCCTGCGTGGGGGGCCCCCTCCCCGTCCTTCAGCACACTGATGCTGGGGAGTGCACCAGAGGGTGCACATTTGATTAACCGGCATCCCCCATTCCCAGGGGGTGCCAGAAAACATCTTTTACTGTATTACATTTCTGGAGGTGCAGCTGTGAGATGCAGGGATGCTGATGGCTCTGTTGCAGGATGTAGTAATTGTGGGGGTGGTGGAGATGTGTTGGTAGGTTTTGCCTTTCTTGTCATGCCATGGTCTGGATCCATTCGGTATGTTCTGGGCCTGAGGAAGTTTGTTTTTGGTGATGAGGTTAGCAAGGTTCAGTGCTTGTTTGAAGGCTAAGATGGGTGGTTCTGGGAAGATCTCTTTAAGAGTAGGGTCTCTTTCTAGTATGGGTTGCAATTATTTGAGGCTTTTCCATATGGGTTCGAGGGAGGGATGATATGTCATAAGCAGCGGTGTGCAATTTGGGGGGCGGTTCTTCTGTACTGAAGCAATTCTTCATGTGTATCTGGGTGGCTCTTTCAAACATGCAATCTATCTCTCTGGAGGAGTGTCCTTGTTGGGTGAAAGCCTTTTAAAGATTGGTGAAGTGGCAATCCTGGGTGTTCTCCTCAGTGTAAATTTGTTGGTATCTGAGGGCTTGGCTGTATATCACAGCTTTCTTGGTGTGTTTAGGGTGATTGCTGGTTCCGTGCAGATATGTATGTTGGTCTGTGGGTTTCTTGTATATGGTGGTCTGTATCTTACCATTCTGGATACTGATCATCGTGTCTGAAAAGGAGATGTTGGTGCTGGAGTATTCAAGAGACAGTTGAATGGAGGGCTGATTATTGTTGAATTTCTGATGGAACTCAATCAGAGATTGCAGGTTTTCCGTCCAAATGATGAAGATATCATTGATATATCTTAAGTATAGCAAGGATTTGATGGTGCAGTCCTTGAGGAATTCTTCTTCCAGGTGGCTCATAAAAAGTTTGGCATACTGTGAGGCCATTTGGTCTAATAAAAGATATCAGATTCACTCAAAGAACCTTGTCTGCCTATGTCCTTAGACTAACATGGCTACAACCTACACCCCTAGAAACTTAGGAATACTTTCTACATGTGAGGAGGAGCAACAGCATAGCTGCTCAATAACTGTTTTTAAAAATAAACTGAAAATGAGGGAAGTAAAGCAAACAGTCTAACATGTAATAATCCAGGTATCTTTGAGAAATTAGGCATTCTGTGATCAGGCAGGTTTTATAAGATGGAATGTTACTCATATGGAAACCTTTATATCTGGACGCTTAGAAATACTGTCCCTTAGAGCAGTGGTGCTCAACCTTTTTGGATGGTGGGCCAAATAGGCTAGTAGTTCCAATCTGGCCCCTGGGGCGGGCATGCTGGGGCCCCATCCAGCTCTGCAGAGGGCACAGGGAACAGCCTGGCCCTGATCCAGCTGTACAGTAGAAGGGGGCTTAGTCTGGCCCCAACCTGGCCCCACAGTGCAGGGAGAGGGTATGATCTGGCTTCTATCCAACCCTGCAGGGGGAAGAGGGCATGGCCCAGCCTTACAGAGAGAAGGGGGTGTGGCCTGCTCTAACCCAGTCATGCAGAGGGAACGGGGCATTGCCCAGCTCCAATCTGGCCTTGTGGGTCCATCCCCAGTGCGGAGCTTGGGAATTTGGCAGCAGGGAAGGGTGGCAGTATTAAGTGCCACTGCTCCCCTACCACCAACCTTCCTGACCTGTGAGGAGCCCCATGGGCTGGATACCATGGTTCAACAGCTGCATTTGGCTTGCCAACCAGATGTTGAGCACCCTTACCTTTAGAGGAAAGTTAATCAATAGTTATATATTTCAGGTGGTCTGCCAAGTGAAAGGAAGTACTCAGATACTTTGTATAAACAGTTCTGGCACAAGGGACCTAAAAACAGTTCATCTGGCTCCCCACTATCAAGACCAACATAATTATCTTCAGTCAGGTACAAAGAAAATTAAATTTATCTCTGACACGTCAGATATTGTATCACACACTATTAGTGTGCATTTACATAAGATTGTGTTTCTCAGCAATAGTGCTGAAATGAGCCAAAACTAATGTAGCTACCAACAATTATACTTTTTTACTAGGGGTATATATCAGTTGGCAATTGGATCGGCACCTATAAAAGGAAAAATGACATTATCAGCCATGTGCCAGGAGCACCCTGGCAAGCATAGTCCAGTCCCTGCACTCCACCACTGTTAACAAATAAAAACCTAGGATTCCGGACTAGCCCAGGGATTGACATGACACCTCATTTGATGAGTGACAGAAAGGTTTTATTTACTACAAGCATTTAAAATCAAGTCAAGTGAGCCCAAACCAAATCAAAGTCCAGTAATTAGCTATACGGTGATGATTTCTCACCAAACAGGCGACAAAGAGGCGGTCTGTTTCTCTTCAACTTCTTGAGTAAGTCGGGTGCATCAGGAACTGGTGTCAGAGAGATTTCTCACCCTTGAAGCGTGCATTGTTTGCTGTTTTACTGCCTTTTTATACCCTTAATTTAGCATCTTCATAGCATTCTTTTAGTTGTGTAAATCAAGAGACAGTTCCAAGTAGTAGTTGACAGGAAAAACCTGCTCATTACTGGTTATCAGAAATTTCTAATTTGAATGAGTTACCTTCTTCAGTAACGAGGTTATCCAGTTTGGAACATATCAAGAAACTGATTAACAGCCAGGAAAAACATACTAAGTCAGGAGGAGACATCTATTACATATGGAGAATGTCTCTTCCTGCACATAAACATGAGTTAGTCGCAAAAGAAATATTTACCATACTAATTAATCAAGGATAGACGTTTCATACAGTTACACACCAGACAACTAAGAGTCTGCCTGAAATCATCCTGAATATAGGAAGACAAGCTGGAAGAGATACTTCATTATTCCTTCTCAGATGGCCTAGCCACGAACTTGCATCCACTTGCAATATGCAGTTAGCATTATTATTCTGTATTTTACCTTTTGTAAGTAGGCCCAAGCTTAGCATGAGTTTCAGAGTCATCCATCACCACTGGCCCAAGCCCACAGCAGGCTATAGGTCCCACAGAGCAGCAGGATTGAGAGGGGATGCTGGGGAATGGTCACAGGGCACTGAACTCAGCAACAAAGGGACCATTACTGGTTCCTACTGCTGCTGCCATGGCAACACTGCGCCCACAGCAGGGACCTGAGCACTAGGGCTGCCACGGAGACATTAGGCTGTGCATGGGTGAGGTAAGGCGCCACGTAAGAGACAGTCTTCTCTGCCAGGCACTAGGTGCCTTTGCAAAAGTGGCTTCTCCCTGGTGGCTGCAGGAGCTCAGCTGTGTGGGGCCTGCCAGCACTGAGGCAGTGGCGTGCTCTGGGCTTCCAAATGCTCCTGTCACCACTGTCCTCACAAGGGTCTGCCCCACCTGCCCAGGGATGTCAGGGAGCAGAGCTGCAGGTAGGGACTGTTGGCTAGGGGGTGACATGTGGGAATAAGGTGGTCACTGCCTTCCTCATCAAGGGCCAGAGCAGGCAGGAGGCATGTGCATGTGTAAATGCAAAACAAACAAAAAAGGTTTATTTATATCAGTAGTTTAAAATGCCTTGCACTATTACTAAATGTCAGTTATTGGATCAGCATTGGCCAATATGGTTGGTTAATTATCGGCAATCAGTATCAGCCAAGAAAATCTCAGGCACTTGTATTTTGTATTATTTTATTGTGCCAACAGAAGTGGTAAATGGTTTATTAAACACCAAAGAAGAGTACAATAAATGTGTTGAATTAAGTGAATGCTTTATAGCCTTTTAATATGCTGACTTCTTTCCATAAGAAACAGGGTTGCTCTAAGCCAGTGATTCTCGACCAGGCTGCTGAAGCACCCTGGGATGCCATGGGATGCTATACAATGTCAGCCATGCTAGGTATGCAAATATGACTCACAAGATATCCCCAAATGGGCGTGTCCCGATGAGCACACATATGCAGTTTATGGAGCCTCAATGCAGTTTGAGACACTGCAAAGCACACATGGCGCACATGTTCCCATTCACCATGCTGCTAATTTGCAGCACAGTGCAGGTTTTTGACACCAGGAGATCCTGGTGTAAAAAAAATCCCAATGCTGAAAAAAGTGGTGTGGTGCATGTGGCAGCAGCGTGCACTGCCAGAAAGGGAGCCTGGCTAGCCAGAGCCATGTTCTGGCTGCTGCCCAGGCTCCGAGCAGCCAGCTCAGCACCAGTGCTGCCCCGGGAGGCCCCTAAGACCATAGGTAAGGCTGCTGGGGGTAGTACAAGTGCTGGCCATAGGCTGAGAGAGAAAAAAATACTTGGGGGGTTGAGCCCCCCCCAAATGGGGGGCAGGTTGGAGCCAGGAGCAGGTTATCCAGGGGGTGCCCAGTGCAGGGAGTGGGTGGTGGCTCCCACTGCTGTGCACACCCTGGGAGGCATGTGCCCCCGGATCTGTGCGGCCCCCCAGATGAGCTGCATCCTGCCCCACCCTGCCCTGCCCTGGCTGGGCAGCGCTAACACCAGTCCCACTCCCACTCCCTCCTCACCCCTGCCGCAGCCACCAGAAGCCCACGGCCAGGCTGCCTTGTGGCCCTACTGTTACCCTGCATTTGTGGGAGCTAAGCCCCGTTAGCCTCCCTCTTCCGCTGCCTATGGTGCTGGCCCTAGTCTCCCCTACTCCACCTGGGTCACTTTGCCATGCACTAGAGTGCGTGTGCAGGGGTATGCCCAGAGACAAATAGCAGTGGTACAGATATGTGCCACTGCTATTTGTCCCACACAAAAAGCATAACCTTGTATGTGCCCATTTGTCTGTACGTGCCCAATGATTTCAAATAAAAATCCACAGTGTTAAAAAAATTGACCTGTTGTAATCTGAGTTTTTTGCAACACAATTATTTTTGCATACTCCAAAAAAATGAGGGAAAGTGAAGAGCTGGCATTTTCTGAGGAGTACTTTGAGTCAAACGAGGGGTGTCTTATGCTTAAAACCTTAAGAACCACTGCTCTAAGTTGTACATACCCTACATCCATTTGCATTTACCCTAGCTCACCACTAAATGTCACTCTTTCTTCAAAAATCAAAAGCAGCTGGAAAGGCAGGTTGTAGTTTAGCTCCAGGGTTCCAAAACTCTGGAATCTCTATCAGTGGCGTTAAATGAGCTTGATGTTGCATTACTTTGCTGCACAGCAATTTTCTTGAGGAAAATGGTATCCAAGCCAATAAACTTTGAGAGCCACTAGCTTAGGTATTAAAGTTTTCCATGGTAAGGTACATGTTCATATATAGCAGCAATGCACTATAAACGTGTAGTTTAATTGTAACATTTTAAGTATTTCTTTCTTCCAGTTGCATAGCTTTCTAAGTTTCTTACCATTAAAATTACCACATATTAAAAATCCACTTTTGACTGCCTTCACAATGTCCGCAAAGAAGAATATGTTGGTGTGGGAGTGTTTCCAGAGCTGCTGCCTATTTTTAGCTCCCATCTGGCCAGATCATGTTTAGTTTTGCTTCTTTTCATAGCTTGCAACAGTGGGTAACAGCAGGGCCCAGATCCAAAAAAACCCAAAATTAAATCCAGAAAAGTCCCTTGTGGTAAGCCGCGAAAGTTGCCAAGGGCTTTCTTTTGAGCTTCCATCCAATGTCCAGCATCTTAAAGAATTTAGCAAATTAATTTGATGTGGCAAGATTCATCTTGTCAATTCCATAGAGCCTGTTTTATTTTTCATACTGTCTAATATGAATTTAATATAATAGTTTTACTCCTGCACTCAACGTAAAGCCTGTGGTTAAGTGCATTGTTGGATCGGGAGCTATGTAGAGAAACTCACTCTATGTTTTTAATTTCCTCCATGCTTTCCTTGTTTTTTCCTAGGCTAATTGTTTTCTAAAATGAGTTGGATATATTTTACCTAATAAATTCTCTGCTTATGTAGGAACCTAAGGCACTGGTGATGCCATTGTTCTCTCCTGCTCTCTTTCTGTGGCACATTATAGTTTGTGACCTCATTAGTTTTGTGTACTAAAGATCCTAGTTTGTTAGTGAGGGCACTGACAGATGTGCAACTCCCTGATATAACTCACAGTGCTTCACAGAATGTTCCATGCGTTACACTGACTCTCCCAACCCAACAGACGTTCGCTGTTGGGTCAGGAGGGTAGAGGATCAAGCTCCGCATTGGAGCCAATCCAGCCAAAGAGATATGTGTCCGCAGTTTCTCTCCCCTAGCCCTGCAGCCTCCCCTGCATCTCAGCTCTGGTGCTGCCTGCACAGTGTGTGTGGGGGGTGGGGAGAAAGGAGCTTGGGCTGAGGCTTGCCCAGGCTGTGCTGGAGTTGGGGTGGGTGGATTGTAGCCCCCCTGATGTGGGGGAGGCTCTACTCCACCCCCACCCCCCAGCTCTACTTTGGAGCACCTTCATCTGAACCCTCAAATAATGAGGGTTAATTTGTTGCAGTTGGGGACTTTAAAAGTGCTCTGCAGCTGTGCACTTCTGTCAGGGCATGGCTGTAGAACACTTTCAAGGGGCTGATCGTGTGACAAATATAACTTCTGTCTGCACCTTCAGTGTTAGAGGAAGCTTTATGGCTTGTGGTATGTGGGAGGGGCTGAAGCACATGTCCTACTGCACATTTCTGTATTTAATGTCTGTTTTGTGGTTGTCTGTGATTGCAGACGCTGTATTCAATTACCCTTGCCAGTCCAATATTCTTATGTTTCTTCTTTGATTCTAGGTGGTCTTTCCTGACTTTGAAAAGTTATGAAATAAGAACTCGAAGTAAATGCAATTAAGATTTTTCTCAGTTAAATTATTTATAAAGCAATATTACTGCTTTTAAATTTGCATTTCGATATATTTAGTGTTAAAGAAAAAATACTTCTTTACTCAAATTATTTGTTGACAAATTACTGATGGCTTTTCATGGCTATGTGTAGTTGTTTAGCAATTCCAAAATGTACTCTTTTGCTAATATTTAAAGAAGAGTGCTGGGGAGAGTTCACAGATTTTCATTCGCTATATTTAATGTGTGGGAAGCATAAATTTGTTTTCCAAGCTGATCTAGAACAAAGAGATGGAAATGAAATATAAAAACACTCAGGAAAGGTGTGCTTATTAAATAAAAGAGGGTCTTAAAGATGTTAAACAACCCACCTGTTTTCACAGAGTTAGGCCCACTTCCTAAAACAGGGGTGACCAAGATACAGCCCACGACCCAAATCTAGTGGGAGAACTGTGTCATACAGCCTCTGCGGGTCTGGAAATTTGGTGGCAGGGATGAGCAGCAGCAGTGCTAATTGTCATGGCTTCAGGAGCTATGGCAATTAATGATGCCCCAGTTCCCCCACTGCCAAATTTCCAGATCTTTGGGAAGTCTTGTGGGCTGAATTGGGCCATCAGACTGGCCCTGTATGCCAGATCAGGTCTGTGGGCCAGCTGCATAACACTCATCTGGTTCTCAGGGACAAGTGACTTGGGTATCACTGTCTTACAATATTTACATAGGTGTCTAACTTGCCTCCTTGTAAGCAATCCTATTAACTTAAAATGAACATATTCCTTACAGATACAAGTAACCCTATGATGACTCTACTGGGACAGTTTTTGTCAGTTCCAGGCAAACTGGATCTCAGTGAACAACAGGTAAAAGAACGTCCTGTAAAGAGCCTATTAATCAGGACCTGGTGTGCACATGTTATTTCAGTAAGGTTGCCTAGGTCTCCATCCAGTTTTCAGTAATCTCATGTAGGTATGGGTCTGTGATTCCTGCATAATTTTTTAGAGGAATGAAAGTGAAACCAATGTTAAGATCATAATATTTATAAAGAACAGAATTATTGTAGTGCAGTAAAAGCTGTGTTAACTGGCATTTTACTAACCAGAATACTCTATTAATTGGAATTTCCAATATTCCCCTATACAAATCCTCACTTTAGCAACCAGAATCTTTGCCAAGTCTATCCAGCATGCACATACACATCAAGTATATTCACTACAAGTATGGCACTGTCTTCCGTATAACTCTCAGATAACCAGAATTTTTAGATAACCAGCACCTCCATTACCCCACTCATGCCAGATGACAAAGCTTTTACTATATCAAGTTCTTGAATTTGTTATTCTTCTATGTCTTGTTATGAATGGAAACAACTTTAGAGATCAAGTTTTGTTTATAAAGGAAATCAAAACTGATTTTTTTCCTTGGAAATGAGCAAAATCTTTATCCCAGAGCTTTAAAGATAAAGCATTAGATAGGCAGAGCAGTCAGAAAATGTGTAGGTGCCAACCTATGCCAGGCATCCATCACTCAAATTCCCATTCAAATCAATGAGGGTTGAAGGTATACAGAAACTCAAGGGATTGAGCTGTTGTAGGAACAAATTGTCAGCATATACAAAATATAAAATAGTTTTGAAGTTAAAACTCCTTTTTGTTCAGTTTGTTTAAAATATTAGTCCCTGAAGTATAGAAAGCATAACCCAATGTAGGTGCATAGTATTAATTGTTTCTGCCATTGTTGGCAAGCATCCTGCACTCCAGGAGGATTTACTTTTCCTTTCTCTACCCTCATTAAGGACTTAAAAGTGGAGGGTTGCTAAATCTTTATAAATGTTTAATTTGTTATTCCTGTTGGCTATTCAGTACTGCTGGCTGAGCAGGCTGTTAGTTAAAGGAAAAATAAGAGAATTAGATGGCTCAAGGGACTGATAAAGTGGTAGAGCGCCATTGATTTCTAGTTTGTCCATTCAAATAGAATTTAGGTTAGTAGTGACAGAAAATTATTATTTGATGACTTGCATTTCGTGTGGAATGGATTTATGGTTTCAGTGTAGATCACAATGGCCAAATATCTAAAATGCTGAATAAAATATGAAACCTGAATTTATTCTTCTATCCTTAAAAGTTATGTTTGCAGATCAGAGCTATGGCATCCTAGCCTTGCAATCTAAAGATGCTTTCAGTGATGCTTTTCTTCTCTAAATTCCAGTTGATCTTCTTCTTCCCTAGATTTCTAATGCTGCTTTCATGCATGGATTTAAGAATTTGAAAAGGGGTACAGATGGTGTGGTGCATCATCACATATAACACAATATGTTTTTCTCCGGTTAAAACAAAACTAGAAGCTTTACTAACATGCTAAGGGCCTAGGGCTGTTATTCAATTTAAGATCAAAACAAAAAAAAGATACAACTTCATTGGACTGTGTATTAATTTGCTTTGTAACATAATGAGTGTGTCTACATGAGACATTTATTGCGGAGCTGACTAATTAGCTCCGCAGTAAAGTGTCAGCGTCTACACATGTGGTGCTATTAGGCTGCAATAAACTAGTAAGCGCTGCTGTAGGATAGTACTGCCCAATGTAAGTACTCTTACAGCAGTCTTATTTATTGCTGTGCAATGCCCATGTAGACATTGATGGGGCTGGCTGGGGCATGAGGGGCTAGCCCCAGCTATCCCCGCACTGTAACACCCTCGTGCCCCAACCAGCCCCTCCATAGTACATTCAGCTGGGTTGGATCAGCCACAGGCTGGGAAGCTGACTCCTGGGCCCCCTGCCAATCAAGTCTGTTCCACCCCAGCTCAACATGCCACGGTCCCAGGCACACATGCAAACACCACGCCCAGGGGCAATAACCTCCAGTGCAAACTGTACTTGAGTTTATTCAGCCACCCTAATTGCACATGTAAATATTGCACATTCCCTTTATGTATAAAAAGTTGCTACAAACTAGACCAAACATAATCAAAATATGTTTTGTTAGTCCTGTAGTCATTTGAATTAAGTGTACCTCTCTTATGCAAATTTATAAAACAAAAATCTAGCATTCCTAAGTGTCTTGATTGTGTATCCAACACTTTACTGACTGCTATTTCTACATCTGATTTAATGTTCACCTGAGTAAATGTTTTTAGTTAGACCTAAAAACAGTCTGCAGGGCTATAAAATAGGAACTATATTATCAGGAGTATCTGAAAAACAGCAAAATTGCAGAAGTTACATAGCTTGATTAGTGGACTGTCAAGATCATTAAAAAAGAGAGAGGGTTATTAACACCTGTGGAATGGAGAGAGACTTTCAGAAATCATGTAGATTATAAAGAATTATGGAGTTAATGTTTCTTTCACCACTGCCTGAATAGAAACACTGCTGCCAGTGCTAGGCAGTTGGTTTTAAATTTTGAGTGGAGTAGGAATCACTTTGCACATACTCTAAGCCCATTTAAAGGGCAAATTGCAGTTGAACTCAATGGAAAACATTGGTATTAATAGCCAGATACAACAGATTGCAGGAATTAAGAGGAAACTGAATCCAGGCTATTCAACAATTTGGGAACAATGAGTTAGTGCTGAATAGCATTAGGGAAACCTATTGCTGGTTCTCCACTGTAACAAGAACAAGAATCCTAACATAATAGTAAACCTTTAAAAAATGGTTAAGTATTCTAATATGATAAAAGCCTTTGTCTGTTCATAACACTTTACTCATACTCTGACTGGTTGTCTGAAACAACCAATCAGAGTGCTCGAAGAGCCTTCTGGACAGGAGGTGGCGGCAGAGCGCCGCCATCATGGCGGGGACAGAGTGGGGCCCTGGAGGTGGTGGGGAGACTCCCCACTGGCCCTGCTCCCTGGAGGGGTTGCAACAGCACAGGGGGGGTGAGGCCAGTGGTACTGGCCTAAACTCTTGCCCCCTCCCCACTCCTTGGAGGTAGAGGCAGTGGCAGATGGAATAGGCCCAGACCCCAAGCAGCAGCGGGGGGAGGGAGGAGCAGCCCTGGGCCCTGGGTCCTGGGCCTGATGTGGCAGGGGGTGAAGGGAAGAATGGGCCCAGGGCCAACACAGTGGGGGGGAGGGGAGGAGTGGGCCTGGGCCCGACGTAATGGAGCGGGGAGGGGAGGAAAGGGCCTGGGCCCAACGCGGCAGAGTGGAAGGGGAGGAGTGGGCCCAG